TGAATAGTAGAGGTTTAAATTGCGTAGAACTCGCGGAAATCAGTCAGTGATTGACCGGAAATTATAATTAAGGCGGTTTTTAACTTGGCAAGGTCCAATTGTAGAAGGGATTCAACGGCTTGCTTCATGTTTACAGGAGAGAGAAGAGTCGAGGGGATAAACATTTGCAGATCGTTAAAATGGCAGAAAAAAATAGAATGTCAGCACGGGGGAACCAATTACCGATTATGATCTCAATCAGCAAAGAAATTACACGGCAGCAGCCATAAACAAAAGAGATCACAGCAAGCTGGCAATCGGGATAACTCGGAACGAAAGCCAATTACACGTCTGAATTATTCCCCGCGAGCAGTTTTTCTCGAAGAATGCATACCGAGAAAAATGGGGCATTCAGAAAGGCTTTGATGAAATATGGATAGAGTGCATGAAGAAACATAGATGTTTCAAGAGCACCTTCAGCAAGTAGAAATTTACAGCGAGCTTTTTCAACATTATTTGATGAAAGAGTGGTGATCAGTTACACAGTGCTCCCGAAGACAATTTCTATCAATCATTAGAGTGACATTGAAAAAGACAAGAAATAAACAACCATGGGAAATGTTGCAGTAAAGTAATGAAGGATTGTCGAAAATACGTCAGTTCAAATTTAAATAACTAAAATTGCAGAAACTTCGTACAAACGTCAAATGGGAAATTACTGGAATTTAACTGAGACACAATTCCGACTTTAAATTCATAATTTAATTCCATAACTTCAACATTGGAAAATGAAAATTTTACACAAAAATCCAGATGCTTGAAAAGAGATTCATTTTAGGCAAGAAACTATCATTCGAATACAACAGTCGCTTTCCTTCTTCAGAATTTTGTTGATTGTTTAATATCATCCTATTTTTTGTATTTACTAGAGTAACTTATGCCCTCAAGTAAGAGGCAAACCTTGGTTTTTCAGTATTATTTTCTTCAATTAAATTGTACCCCCCCCCCCCCCACTGAGACACACAACCCATACATATAGGAACTCTGAAACTGACTTATTTTAAAAATAAGAGCACCAAAATTTGAATTTAGACCTAAATTGAACTTGAATTCAATTGTTTCCATCATAAACACTTTCCAAATTTTACATTAAAATCAAGTATAATGCAACCCTCAACTTATAAAACAAAAACAAAACTCATACCTCCCCATGATACGCACCCCCTTTTTCCTGTAAATTTTAAGAAAAATGTGTTCGGGGTGCTTGAATAAATGGGGTGTAGATGTACATACTTGGACTTGACTGAAGATTTGGACGGCGAGGGCAAAAATTGTGCGCAAAATTTTAGCGATGGAATCCTTTCCGAAGCGAGTCATATTCTTATTGAGGAAACACAGTGGGATGAGGAAAAAAAACCCCCAACTACAGTACAGTACAGTAAAAAATTCTATACTGCGGGTTGTTCAGAAGAAAGACAATTTTTACTAATTTTTTATTTATGGCTTTTTCACCAGGGCCACAAAATTATTTCAGAAAACCCCCGTTGGCTTTCGTAGTTTATAATAAGCGGCATGAAAAGGGGGAAACGATGAAGGGAATGCGGAAGACATGATGGGCGTGGACCCTCGCCATAGCTCTTGTACTCTGGTCAAAGTCACCAGGGTGACGATTCATCAACATTATTCGGAGGTTTCCATGTCACTTCGTTTAGTCTCTACTTATATTTATTTTTTGAAAGAAAAAAATTAAATGAGTCTCTCCGAGTTCTCCCGGAAGAGAAAATGTGGATGTGTCCACTCGCAATTAAAGCATTTCGCGTGGAACTGATTAAAGCATCCATTTCCTATTTTTTTCAACCCCGCAATTACTCTTTCGCATTCAGAAAATGTCATCAGCGTCTTCTGTCAAAATGAGCTATTGTTTGTGATTTCTATATAGTCATTCTTCATTTTAATATGTTTTCATGTTTTAATTAAAAACCGCTGTCGTCCGATGAAAAAGTTTTCTCGCCGGCGATCCCGAAAAACATAACATTTTTTATATCATACGCTTGATTCAAAAAATAAAAATAAAAGCTAGAGCAATTCGAAGAAAAGTTAATTAAAAACCGCTGTCGTCCGATGAAAAAGTTTTCTCGCCGGCGATCCCGAAAAACATAACATTTTTTATATCATACGCTTGATTCAAAAAATAAAAATAAAAGCTAGAGCAATTCGAAGAAAAGGTTTCAAACGCGAAAATCTCGAATATGTTCCACGAAAAAAAGGGAGAATAAAGCTTAAAACTTGAATTATGTCCACAAATGAAATTGGGAACGCGCATTCAAAAAAGCATTCCTTCGATCGATAACACTTTCGATTTTCGCTCAGATAAATCATCAAAGAAACAATTGCGCAAAAACTATTTCCGCATGAAATTGCAAACAAGTTTTTACTGTACTATTACTGTATATGATTTACATTGAAAAAAAGTTTTCACACTCAAGGTTCATTGAAAACTCGTCAAAGCTTTAGGGTCGACCAGTAGCCCGAAGGTATGAAAAAGACGAAAAATATTGTAATCGAAGAAGGTCATCTGCAACAACCACTCCAGAGCCACCTGCCAGGACCAAGATTTAGCGAGCTAATTAATTAAAAACCGCTGTCGTCCGATGAAAAAGTTTTCTCGCCGGCGATCCCGAAAAACATAACATTTTTTATATCATACGCTTGATTCAAAAAATAAAAATAAAAGCTAGAGCAATTCGAAGAAAAGATTTTAAGCGCAAAAATATTGCAACTGCGAAATTTAAAATTCGTATCTTCCGAAGGGGAAAAACTCGAACATGTTCCACTAAAAAAAATGGAGAAGCTTAAAACATGAATTATGTCCACAAATGAAATTGGGAACGCGCATTCAAAAAAGCATTCCTTCGATCGATAACACTTTCGATTTTCGCTCAGATAAATCATCAAAGAAACAATTGCGCAAAAACTATTTTCGCATGAAATTGCAAACAAGTTTTACTGTACTATTACTGTATATGATTTACATTGAAAAAAAGTTTTCACACTCAAGGTTCATTGAAAACCCGTCAAAGCTTTAGGGTCGACCAGTAGCCCGAAGGTATGAAAAAGACGAAAAATATTGTAATCGAAGAAGGTCATCTGCAACAACCACTCCAGAGCCACCTGCCAGGACCAAGATTTAGCGAGCTAAGAGCAAAATTTATGGGCGGCTACGATTTCACACCAACTACCTCACCCCGGCGCCTCCCTTGAGCCGATAAAAATCAGACCACCGCCAGGAAGCATTCATCATTTAAATGAAAACAAGGAAAATATGGTCTGGGTATTCGAAAGAAAAAAAAAGAAGAAAATGTAAGAGGCATGCAGACCTGGTTCATTTTTTTCCCGCTCCCCCTTTGCCCCGAGGGCGCTAACCATGGAATAATGAACCTTCGCAAATCCTAGATCCTTGAAAGAATACTGTACTTATCTTCTGAAAAGCTCTGAATGGTCTTAGAGGAAATTAAGAAGGCGATTATCCGGTATTCATCCAAAAAGTAAATCAGATAGTGACCCAACCGTGAAGTGATCGGTTACCCCAGCGCAAATTCATTCTCGTCTTTTCCTTATTCAAAAAAAAAAGAAAAAAAAGCAACATGCTTTTCGGAAGGTTGGTTTCTTTTAGCAGTGTGTAAAAGGTATAAGATTAAGAAAGTCTTCAATGTTAAAAATTACTTTGCTTTAGTGGCCTGTTAGCACTAGAACAAAAACTTTTGTAAGATTTGTAAAATATAATTTATATAGAGGCATATTGGAAATGGTTTCTGAAAAAGTACGATAAAAACGTGCTAAACTTGACATTCATTCTGATAATATTTTTTTTCTTCAATAAAAAGCATCTATACCTAAACTTAATTTAAAATTTTTTGCAGTGAAATATTACTGAAAACATGGATTATTTTATACTTCAAATACAGAACCTTCATTTCTTTTAAAAAACATTGGTATAAAAACCCATTTTATATCATTGCCATGCCTTGGATCACACAGGAGTGACAGGACAGGACAAATACGAGAGGGTGATCAAAAATCCTGAAACTTTGATTTAAAGGATTTTTGTAATTTGTAAGCAAATACAATTAATATTAAAGCAAACCCAATGATAGCTTGAAGGCTACATACAACATTACCAGAAAACAATTATTGCATATTTTGCTGGTGAAACTGGAAAAATGCAATTGTAACTACATCACGGAACATGCATTTGAATTTTCCAACTCGTGCAGGGGCGTGTTCCATCGACATTTCTACGTGGGTAGACAATTTCAGATTTTGGAAGAATGAGTCGCAATATTTCCGGCGGATGATTGAAAAATAAAAATTGTAGTACTTGATAATTCTCGTATTCACTCTTCAATTCCTCCCCCGAACAACAAATTAACCCGAGAAAAAGGGCACCACGCGCAAACGAACTAATTCTAGGAAACAAACGTTTTTTCCCCATTGTGAAAAATTGCAAAAACTATAGAAGCTATCGCAAATGACGCAATCTTTCATAAAATTTTCAGGAAATGCGGAAAAATGACGAATTTTGCATAAAAATACACGTTCCTCGAATGCCTTGTGATGCATTACAAAAATTTATCCTGTTGACCAGCATGAACTCTACCGTAAATCGAATGTTGCTGGTGCCGTTCCATCAATTTTGGGAAACTGCTCCAATTCTCTTCGAAGGAAATAATACGAATAAATAAAAATATCAGCAGGCAAAGGGAAAAACCTAACGTAATGGCATATACAGTATTTGCAAAGTTTATGGAACTTTACTTGGCCAATATTCACGATGAGATAATGAGAACGCTGTATAAGCATTTTTGAATTAAGTTGACTGCTGCTGTTTGAAAAATTAGAAAATATTTCGAAACCTTGTGAACGCTGACGAGCAGCAAAATAGAGCTTCTTTATCAATCAAAACCATTTCTTTTTCTTACAAAACAAAGGTTTGGTAAACCAATTAAGGGCTGTACACTCACGTTTCATTGAAGGGACAATTCGGCGGATGGGTGGAACTGGGTCGACCTGATGCTGGTCGTAGTTGCCGTTGTCGTCGTCAGGTGACGTTGCTTCGCTTTGCGAGTAATGGAGAAACGACATGGGGATGCTGATGATGACGTCTTCGTCCTCGTAATTTGAGCAGCATGACATGTCTGGTGTCCATCGACCAGCAGCGGCGGCATCTAGCGGCAGAGCAGCCACTGCCTTCCGGCTTCCGGGCTCACGTCACTCCTTGTCACGGGTCGCGACTCCGAAGCTCGGGCCCCCAAGAGTTTACGTGCCCAAATCCGGGACACCGACATTCTGAATATACCAAGAAAAATATCCAGACATTTCAAGGACACGGCATTTTAAAATCAAGCCACTCAAGAAAAAAAAATAATGATGTCACGCATTCACGAGATTCGTTTTTATGATTCTGGAGAGCGTCTCCATTTTCTCGCGACATTCGAGAAAATCGAGCAGCATTTGAGAAAAAAATCAGCATTTCGAAACTTCATTTCGATGTTTCTTTCGTCGTGATGGGCATAACTGTTGAGTGCTAAAACAATAATGGCAACTTTGCATAATTCAGTCCATCACGGACGATTTTTTTCTGATAACCGTGTCCCTGATTCATTGTTCGAAACCTCGGTTGAACTCGCATCGAATTGAAATCGAGCCGTTGAACAATTCTTTCCTCGAGCAAAACGCGTTCACAGACGCGAAGAAAACGTTGATCTAAAATCAAAATTTGGAAAAGCGAAAGTTATTTTCCTGATAATTTTGCCCTTAATGCATTATTCGGAATCTCGGTTGACCTCGCACTACAATTATAACGAGCTGTTAAATAATTCTTTCTTCGAAAAAAAAAACGCGTTCACAAAGGCGAAGAAAATGTTTATTTGGAAAAGCGAAACCACTCCTTGGCAATTTGAAAAGTTGAAAAATATTCTATAATCATTGACACTCGTTTTGACAGGCGAGATTTCACTTGAGGAACATGCCACAATTCCTCACACACACACACACACACACAAAAACAGCCTTAATGTGGACATTGTGAAATCACCGGAGAGAGTAATAAAAAAAAACACAGACAGGAAAATACTCTGCACAAAATCAAAACCGCAACACTTCAGGAAACCGCAAAATCTCAGTTGACCGAGTCTGCCGAAGTGTTCGTTCAGCCATGACCGACACAAGAAAACGAGAATGAAAGCAGGTGTGTACCCACAAAATTACAACCCTTCGGTTTCCTCGCACACCCACACACTTAGCTGCAAAATGTGCACGGAAAGATTATAAACTCGGTATAAACATGTTTAAAATTAAACTGAAAGCAAAAAATACTTGGACTAACAATTCTATAAATAAGTCGACAACGTGTGTCGGTAAAATTTACCTCCATGCCCGGAAAGATTGTGAACTCGGTATGAACATTTAAAAAATTAAACTGAAAGCAGCAGCAAATACTTGGACTTACAATTCTATAAATAAGTCGACAACTGGTACCGGTAAAATTTTCCCCCGAACAACGAGTATTTGACGAATAAATACCAGTTTATAATGGGTTTCGTCGAAATATAACCGGACCCGCCGTTCAGCACAAGAACGAGTGATAAACGAGCTCCCGCATTCAATGCCGCAGAATTACGGAAGGGATAATAATATCGCAGAAGTTAAATGACAGTTGTCAATTTTCTGGGAAAATTGATGCTACAATACAATGAATAAAAAAAAAAGTTGAACATGAAAGAAACTCGGCGGCAGACACACAGCAAATGATGGAACCACGCCCGGCAGACCGACGCGACCCTGATCCGCTCTGCTTCCTTCCTGCAAGACTCCCAAGTTCGGTGTCACCACAAACATTGCACTACCAAAAAGCCCCCAATTAATTTGATCCCATCACAAAAGCCCCTCCTCTCCTTTCAATTCAGTCAATTTCGCATCTCCTTCTTCAAGGTAGTAAAACGCTCATCATTAAACAGTCGAACTTCGAAGGGCCTGCCAAAAAATTCGAGGTAGGGAAGCATTAATTTGTTGGGAGATAAAAAAATTAATGGAAATTGTAATTTTTGATATTTTGGGCCTTAAATTGCTTCTTAAATGTGTTGACAGGATACTGAACTTAGAGGCAAGGGTTTTATTTGCCAATTACTCTTTCACTTCCTTTCAGAAAACATCAGGATTAATTTTTACTGCTTTTTTCTTTCCTGCGTCAATAAAATATGGGCCAAAAGGTCTCCAGAAAATTATAGTTTTGGAGTTTTTCAATCCAGTGTTTCTGAAGAAATTCGAAGAGGAACTTGAAAAAAATATATTGACGTATGGAAGTATTCGACTTTTGGAGGTTCGAATTGTCGAGGTTAAACCGTAAAACTCCGACAAATTCTTCACACGAGCTAAAGTAATGTTCACAATAAGGTTTCCAACTGAAAATTGCTCGAATTTCCGCCTTTGATAAAATTATTCGTAGCCATTTGTCAGAGGAAAGTCAGGAGCATTTGAGAGAAATGCACTTGTATTACTTCTGGCTGTAATTTAATCAAAAATACCTTTAAAGCGTAATCTAATAAAAACGTACCTGCAGCCTTAGTTATGCCAATATATAATTCCACAGTGGATCCATGAGTTTGGGACGACGGGTTTAAAATTAAAAGGAACCACGTTTATGCAATCAATTTCAAGTTCAATTTTCCAGTCACATTGTTTTCTGAGAATACTTTTCACAACGAAGGCAATTCGAAACGAAATCATAAAAAAAGAGCAGACCCAAACGTCAGCAAGTGGGACAGCTAGAATATCAACATCAATCATAATAGGAACTGAAAAGACATTGTGTTGGAACGATGCGGACACGACATATAATCTCCTTCAATGCCCAATAAGTCGTTTCCCCACACATAGAAACCCACAGGTAAAAAAAAAGTATATATCCTCGGCACTTCCGAGGAAATACTGTAAATTTGCGATCAACTAGAGATTGTCGAATGAAAAATTCATGCTTATTGTGTAAATTGAAAATCCACGAAAATATTTGGGTGCTTCCGAAAATTTTCCCTATAGTTACTTCATCACAATTTCATGCCTCGAAAATTAGAGGAAGAAAAATATTTCAAAACGCGCAGGGCGGGAATAAAATTACCATCGGAGTAATTAATCAAGGAATTTTCATTCCGAAAAAGCTTACATCATGATCGGCTTCACCAACTTGCCGCGTCATATTTTAGAAGGAAAAAAATTAGGCTTCCGAGCATGACCTCATCGCGTAGAAAAAGTTTTACAGCCTTCACAGGATGCCACGAATAACGGATCGCCACGTTATTGCCAGTCCTATTAAAAAGCGGTGTAAAAGCCAGCTGTAGGAACGGGAAGGTGCAGTAAAATCCACCGGCGAATCAATCACGACATCCTCAAGAGTTCATCCACTTACTTGACACTTGGAGCGATTTTTAGACCTACTACGGATAGCAACTCTGAAAAATTTACTTTGTTCGACTTATTAACAGCAGACTTATTTTCTTTCAAAATCATGGCCCACTTTTGACGCGCCAATCTTGAAAAGACGACGATTTTGCGAATACTTCAGCAGTGAAAATACTGAATGCAAAATTTAGTCGCGCTAAAAATCTCCACGGGTTCTGAGATGCGCTTTCATAGTTTTTTTTTTTTTTTTTGCTGGTAAGATATAAAGAATAGAGAATCAATAAAGATTGAGGCGTCAATTTTTCTAAAGCAGTCAGACTGTATGACTTTTAATGCTCAGTTGACCCTGACACTGAAATGATCCATCGCTGTTTTGAGCGCCACCCTTAATTTGCAATCATATAATTTAATTACCACGAAGCAAAAGATAATGACTCGTGTCAAATTACATCGAATTTATCATCTAATTTCAATTGAATTGAAAGACATTGCATTTGCTTTTGCTCACTCGAGAATTCTTCGAATCAAAAGTTGGTGTTGCCCAGAAAGAAAAAAAACATGCAAATCTCAGATTCCATTGAATACACGGCTCATTTTGTTTCATGCCAATATTATAAGACCCTCAAGACAAAGGAACGCAAGCCTTAATGAACAAGTCAGCATCAGAAAAATTCAAAGCGTATCAAGTTCATTCTGATGGCATCGTACTCTCGACGATCAGAATACGAAAGTGAAAACAGACATTGATGACGTTTGCTTATATCGAGAGTTCCTAACGAAGTAAATTGACAGAATCATAAACGCTCAACGGAATCCGAATTTACGACAGGGCATAATTATCGTCGTCCGAAGTACGGGACAAGTTTGAATTAAAAATACGAACAGCAAATAATGATTGAGACGGTTCTTCAAAGCAATGAATTTATTTGCAAAAACACGCCAAGGAAATTATGCAACCGAATTGTCACATAAATCTTCAACGTTCGTAAATTCAGGTCGAATTGGAGTTTTTTGTATCAGTCGCAGGTGTAACAGAGCAGTTGATTAATGCTTTTCTGATCACCAGAAAATACGTGCAGAAATTCGCTGCCTTTCGATGCAAAATGACTTCCAGTAATTAATTCTTCTCGGGAGTTTGAGAAATTCATAAAAATTCTTCAACCATTTTCTGAATCAAGACTACGATTATCTGCGGTAAAATCCAGAAATAACCCTTCGAACAGGACTAATATAATGGTAGATTCGATAAAACCAAAAAGTTCGTGAGATTCACATTTTTTTAGTCTTTTATACTGTAATTGGAAGTCTTCGCGTCGCAATAAAAAAAAGTTCGTTTCACAATCTGAAAATAAAAATCGAATTATTGCGCCACTGATTGAAAGAATGTCCACAAAATGAAGCTTTGCTCCCTATAGTGAAAACGAATTACCCAATTTTCCCATTTTTTTTCTCCTTTGACACGAGATCGATTCGAAACGCGGAAAAATGTTTTTAAAAAAAATCTAGCATGGTCAGCATTCCACGATCAGTGGAGGAAACTATACTGATGAAATTGTTGCGACGAGGTCGTATTTCTGAATTACAGCTAGTTTCCTGAAGCGTAAAATATTTAGGTGAAACTCGGAACTTCGAATAAAACTTTTGTTGAGGTTATGGTCGCGAATTCGCCAGCCATTCGATCACAATCCTTGCAGAAAAAAAAGGCGAGACTCGCTTCGAATTTGGGTCCCCACCTTGTTCTCATGTTTGCCTCAAGGCCAGATTTTATTCTTTCTCTCGAAAAATAAACGAACAAACGGGTTCAACGAAATCAACCCAGAAACGAAACACGACTCAAACACGTGCCCACCGTTCACCTTCAACGAGCCCGATATTAGCAGAAAGAAGTAAAACGAGAAATGCTTTTTGCATGTGCCGTAGCTGGAGTGTTTAATTCAAATATTGAATACGATTCCGAGTCAGATTAATGAGAAAAAAATAAAAAAACGGAAGCATGAAACCAGATTCTCGTCTCGGTCCTGCGAGTTTATAGCTATTCAAATTGTATTCCCTTTCCAAGAATTTTGAAAATGAATAATTTTTTTAAAATCCAACAGAGCGATCATAAATTTTTCTCTTACGGGATTATTAAATTAACTTTCGTGCTGTTGTAAAACGTCATCTGCATAACTGAACGCGATAAACTTATATTTGAAGTGTACCACTATTCTCTTGAGTATAGATATTTTATTTCTTTCGAAAGCATTCTGTTTTTCAAACTTCAAAAGCTCCCAGAGAAACCTCTTGAGAGGAACAAAAGGCTAACTTCAAATTCGCCAGAATATTGCCTTTTTCCATCTCGAAATTTCCTTTTTGCTTGTGGATCTCAGTAAATCGGGGGGATATTTTCTCAAAACATTATTTTAAAGACTAATGTTTGTGGAACCTGTTTCCTTAGTAATCTACGACGACAAAAAATATGGCACACATAAAATACGCTGATATATTAAAAATCGAATAGCAATAGTATGAAAATCGGTGAGAAAGGCCTTAATAATACAGTACTTACTTGCAGCACAGTATTCACTTGAATTTTATTTATTTTGTCCATGCTCTTGTGCCACTTAATATATATTAAAAATCGAATAGCAATAGTATGAAAATCGGTGAGAAAGGCCTTAATAATACAGTACTTACTTGCAGCACAGTATTCACTTGAATTTTATTTATTTTGTCCATGCTCTTGTGCCACTTAATATTTTTGAGGTGTGATTCTTATTTAGTGAACAACTGGTGAATTTTCCATAATCACAGCTATCAAATTTTAATGATCAAATCAACGTATGCATATTCATTTACTCTCTTGAAGCCAATCAAGGCTTTCCAACAGTGATAAGCTATGTCAACGTCCCAGAAAATGAATTCTCTTGGTTATTTTTTCCCTCAATTATAAAGCAAAGACATTTCTTGAGGACGATTTCCCGAGTAATAACATACGGTAATAAATCTTCATAAAAATGCCAGACTTCAAACGTGAAGGAAGGTTCAAGCCTACATATTTTAACCCGTTCGGGTACTTCATTTTAATTCCTTGGTTCCAAACGAGAATGAATCGCAGTTTTTGTAGAATTCGGAACCTGCTTTGGAAGAATGGAAGACAAAAGATATCTGCAATGCTAAAAACGACATTAAAAAAATCATCGAGTTCTTGACAAGCGAATCTGCAAAATTAATGCATAAAAAGTGTTGTCACGAAGCCGTAAATTCTACGGTGAATTGAGATGATGCACGAAGAATACGCAATATCTTTCGATATTTTCGCGCTAAACTTTCCTGGTAAAGGTGAAGCTTCTAGCCCGTTTTTTTACCGTCAATGGTAAAGGCTTTGCCAACCGCTTTAAGGAGCGTTTAAAGGTAAGCAGTAATTTACGCTGCTTTATTTATGAACTGGTGTATATTAGGCA